TCTCACTTCATTCACTGTGTTGTGGCCACTGTTGTGTATTGAAATCAATAGCTCAGTAAATAAGCATGCACAGGGAAACTCCCAAATAGTGAGGGTTTTTTTAAAAAGTATATTTTGGCTTATTGGCTTTACTACCTTCAATGACATCTAGTTGTTTCACATATTAGGTATACTTCAGATAGGACCCCTTCTGCATGTGCGGCACAGGGCAATTGCTCTCGTTTTTACATTTAACAAGTTCCTGAACAACAGTAGCATTTTGAGAGACTGGTCTCCTTTGAGACTTACTTTACTTTTAGATGAACCTATGCAAATTAGAGATACCTTTATTTGCCATGAGTAGAGAAGTGAATATTGGGGGATGGACTCTGAGAAAAGAATCATATATTCCCCTTACTTTTTCACATGCTTTTTTCTGTTTTTCAAGGAAAAATATGAAAAACTTTGGAAGGAGTAAAAACTCTAATGAATTATTTTCTTTTTGAATAATGAATGAAATTAGACATTGATTAATTGATTGAGTGACTGATTGATTATGTTCCATCAAGTCAGCAACCACTTAGATAGATTTTCAGTTCCCAGCCTGGCCCTTCAGGTCTCCAATGATGCACCCATCACCACTTTATCTGAGTCACCCACCTTGCTGCCGGGTGGCCTTTTCTCTTTTCTTCCATCTTTCCCAGCATTATAAATTTCTCAAGGAAGCCAGGTCTTTGCATAATTTGTCCAAAATATGATAATTTGAGCCTGATCATTTGCACCATGAGTAAGAACTCTGGATTGATTTGTTCAGTAATCCATTTATTTGTTTTCCTGTCTGTTAATAATATTCTCAGGAGTCTTCTCCAACATCAAAGTTTAAAAGTGTCAATATTATTTTTATCTTGCTTCTTCAGAGTTCGACTTTCATTTCTATAGACTGTCATAGGGAAATCCACTACCTGCACAGTTCTGATCTGTGTAAGTATAAGCACACCATGGCATTTGAATGTTTTTCCCAAGGCCTTCATGGCTGCTCTTCCAAGTGCTAGTCTGCAGTGTATTCCTTTACTGTTGATAATTGGTCCTAAAAGGCAGAAACTATCCATCACTTTGATATCTTCACTGCCAGTTCTCAGAATGGCTCAACACAGGTTATCAAGGTTTCTTCCTTCAGTTTTAAAACCACCATCATCTTCCAGTCCAGCTTCTCTCGATATACAGGTTGTGCCAAAAGTCAGACCCCATAGTCCAGTCACAATATGTTTTATTAATATTTTTTTCAGAGAAAATGCTCCTGTACTTAGGAATGTTCAAATGTCATTCCTATGGGGCCTGACTTGGTACCCCCTGTATATTCAGTATACCAGTTGAATAAATAAGGGAAGAGTATGCAATCTGGTCTTACTGTTCTGCCAATCTAGAGCCAGGAAATAAGACATAGTTCTCATAAATAACCATTCTTTACTCCCTTCAAATGTTTTCTATTATCATGGACATGCAAGACCTTTATCTGGTGTACCAGAGTGCTACAGTTCCTGTATACAGATGACGAGCAGTACAGTACAACTCTTGGATTCAAGAGGAAATGTTCTGAGAGGCCACTGTCTTTTTCATTGGCAAAGGGCGGGGGGGGGGGGGGG